TCATAGTGTGGTTCATAAGTTTGATTTTTCGATAGTTTGTACAATTCATTATATTTTTTTTGATCTTGTAAATAAGTATTACAATACTTTTCCTCCATTCATATGACACTTTTTTTTTTGTTCTCAACACCTTGTGGGGCAACTTGGTCAGCAAGTCAATGCTAGTATCTCCATGCGCTTCCAAACCTCTATCAAGATACCATCTGGTTCTAAAGCCTTTTTTATCTTCGTCATCTTCAAAGCTTCTTTCACTTCTGATATCCGAGTCCTACGAATGTATCTATGACCTCCACCCTCATTTATACCAATGGTTAGATCAATCGTTGTATTCCCGTTGTGTTCATCATTCAATAATTTTTGAAAATAAACTTTCCATTGTTCGTTGACATCTTTATCCTTCACCGGGACCTTTTTAATCCTCACTGTTGACACATTTAATATGGTTTAAATCCATACACTTTTTCTCTCTTAATTTTTTTAATTTGAAGATATCTTTTTCATCTTTTCTTCTTAGTTTACTGTATAGATTATCATATGTCATAAGTTTGGTCTTACTTACTATGTTTTTAGATTTTTCTTAGCATTTTTATATTTTTCTAAGTTTTGATGTTTTCTATTATATTTCCAAGTTTATAACATAATAGTTTTCACTAATGACCTCCTGAACCTCGTCACTCCATCATTAAGTTTTTTTATTGAAATTTCTTTTCCCCCCTAGCTTCTCCTAAAACTTATTTTTCCACTTTCTTAATACAGTCAGCCATTTTATTCTACATAACATTGATCTCATGATTATATTTTCCTTCTTCTTCTTCTTTTTTTTTTTTGAACGTGTTCACTATAGTTACATTTTCCTTCTTAACTAATTTATCTCTAAATTAGTCTATTTTCTCATTTTTAAAATTCCGTCACCTAATTCTTGGAGACCTATTAATTTCACCCTTCTCTTTCATCTCTTTATGATGATGTCCATAATCAAAAGCCTATATTGTATAGTCAAACTCTCTCATGGGATAACTTTATAGAATTTACATAATAGTCAATATACCTTCTTAACTAGGAAAAAATGTATATGGTTTTTATATGATCCACAAGTTATGAAATGTTCATCTTAATTTGTAAAGTAAGTGTGTGCTATTATTAGGTCGTAGGCCACAACAAAATCTAGAATAATCTCACCCATCCTTTCACTAAGAGTGTAGTTGACATACGGATGCATCCGTAGGTATAGAGGTAAGGTGCACCTTCAAATTTTATCATGGCATTGCATAATCATAAAAATAATGAATTCACAAAATCAAGATCATGAAATTTTCTAACTTAAAAAGACCCAAGCATAGGATAATTATGCAATGCAATGACAATTATTATGCAAATAAAATATGTAGTAAATCCCTAAATTATAAGCCACAAAAAAAAATGCATGCAATTGATATAACAACCTTTACTTGAATAGTCGTTGTGTGCATAACAATTATCAATAATCCAATAAAATTATGCATTAATTTTTTCACTAAGTTTTATATAGACAAGCTATGTTTACTCTCTACTAACTTTATACTCTTACCTATAAGTGCTCCTACATTCCATATAGCTAGACGAATCCTATTCTGTTGGACTAGTTTCTTTGCACACACTTGTCTAGAATGTTGCATGAACCCTCGCCTATTTTCACTACAACCAGGTGGCACTGCAATGTGTCACTTATAGGGAATGCCTTAGCTAACCCTTATTCATTTTTCACTATACCCATGTTCCAGTACAACGTGTTGGTTATGAGGAACACCTTAGCACAAATAGATAACGTAGATTAAAGATTTATGATAAGTTTTGGCAAAGTTTTATATTAGCTATCTAACTAACACAATCCATCTCATTTACGCATACTTGAGACGGGTTAAGAGAAAGTTTAAGATCCTTGCCCTAGACCAATCCTTATATTTTGAGGTCGAGATTATCAAATTAGAAATTTTTCCAATAGTAGAACACTCTCTTCTAGATGATTTTTAAGATACATTCTACTTCCCTTTTCATGAAATGCATGCTTTCATAGCACGAAGACCATGTCACATGACAATCCATGAAAACCATGTTCACGGGGCTCCAAGGCTGAGAGCATATATTGTCTAGTTGATTAACAACCAGATCTACCATAAAACCCAAAATTACATATATTGAAAATTGTTCACACTTTGTGAGGTGGAGAGATTTGATAAGAAACTGGACATTTGGAAAGCTAAAACTCTTTCTTTGGAGGGAAGATATAAGTTGATTAAATCCACTTTGTCCAACATCCCAGTATATTTTATGTCCTTATTTAATATGCTAAAAGAAGTTGAAAAGCAACTAGAGAGAATTATGAGAAATTTCTTATGGGGAGATGACATAAGGAAAAGATTTCATTTGGTGAGTTGGAAAAAAGTTTGTAGACCAATGAAAGAGGGAGGATTGGGTGTTAGGAGACTGAAACATATAAAATCAATACTTTTAGTAAAATGGTGACGGAGGATCCATACACAACCTAAGTCTATCTGAGTACTTGTTCTGAGAGATAAATATGGAATGGATTTGAACTTTTGCCTCATTAAAAGTCCAAGAAACAAGACAAGTTTGTCTTATGTTTGGAAAGGTATTGACTATGAGATATCTGTATATCTACGACAATTCCAAAAAATAGTGGGGAATGGAGAATCCACTCTCTTTTGGTTTAACAAATGGGTTGGAGATAACCCGTTGAGATACCTTTTCCCTAAGGTTTTCTCAAAAGCTTTAAACCCGCTAGCATCGGTCAAGGAGGCTAGTGGGGATGTTTACACTAATATTGTTTAGTGCAGGTACAAGAGAGGCACAAATAGATTCATTAAGGAGTATCAAACATTGTTGAAATTATTGAATGACACATATTTGACTCCAAATATGAATGATAGCTTTATTTGGGGTCTTACCCCTTCGAGAGATTTTTTCAGTTAAGTTAACCTACAATCTATTATTTTCTTATCGTTAGAGAGAGTTGGATGCTGGTTTATTCAATATTATTGCATGTGCCTCTTAAAGTGCAGTTATTCTTATAGATCATGTGCCAAGATAAATTAGCAACTGTTGACAAGTTGATAAAGATGGGGTTTATTATCCCCAATAAATGTATCCTATGCAAAGACAATGATGAAATTTTGCATCATCTTTTCTTCTCATACCTTTTTGTTACACATCTTTAGGATTGGGCTTGGCAGTGCCTCAATATGTCATTACCTTTGCTCCAAAATATCAAGCTCTTCTTGACCAATGGATCACACCCGATATTTCAAAGATGGGAACTATTCTTTGGAGATCTATGTGGATTAGCCTTCTTTGGAGAGTATAGAAAGAAAACAATAGAAGTCTTTGATAATATAAGTACAAATCTGTCTACATTAAAATCAAATATTTTGCCAGTTGCAGTTGATTTGTTCCTTACACATAAAGATAATGGCTTTATCCCTAAAAATCTTATCATTAGCAATCCCTTGATAGTTGCAATTATGGATGTTACCGCCAATACTCGTAGTGAGGTTGTTTGGATACCACCACCAATGAATTCTTTCAACTTAATTTTGATGGAAGTTCACTTGACAATCCAGGGCCAGCTGGCAATGGTAGTCTCATCAGAAATAACTTGGGTTACGTTATATTTCCTTACTCGAGTCTTTATGGTATCACAATAGCAAATGAAGCGAAAGCACGAGATTTATTAAAATGTTTGAAATTGCTATGCACTTTGAAAGGGAGCAAAATTATCGAATAAGACTTGGCAAATGTCATTGCTTGGATTAAGAGAAAGACCCACATTCTTTGGAGATTAATGAATATTTTTCATTAAATTTAGGATATTTTCTCAAAGGCAACCGTCCAACATTTGAATTAATGATATATAGAGGCAAATAAATATGTCGATATTCTTGTCAAAAGAGGAGTCCATACTCCCTCTCTGTTGGTTACTTCATTTCTGAAACTAAAAAAGGACAAAAAAAACAAAAAAGTAAAAGGGCGCTTGATTGTCTGAAAATATATTGCCTATATATTACAGATGTAAATGCAACTTGATTGTTACTGTTTAGATAGCACGTAGATACAATGTTACTGTTTAGATAGTACGTAGATACAACCTGGGAAAGACATTGTTTATTTGGATAGTATTTACAAATTAATTGTTACTATTTGGATAATATGTAGATACAACCTGAAAAATACATTATTTGGATAATATGTAGATACAACTTGAAAAATACATTGTTTGTTTGGATGATATGTAAATATAATCTGGAAAATACATTACTTTTACTTGCAACAATTTAATATAGAATGGTGTACACATAATCATTCTTGTCCTTTAAATTTCAAAATGGGTGATTGTACTAGTGTCATTGAATAAATACAAAATTAAAAAAAAAAAATTCACGACTCACCTTAAACTATCCAATTTACCGTCCAAAGCCAAAAGATAAATAGTCTCTTTGTAAAAATTCCTATTTAATATTGAAATACATATCTATAGATAAACTATACCATACTTGTCATGCCTCAAAAAATAATAACTTAATAGTGTAAATTAATATTGATCATTAGTGACCTATTTTAGTCGCCACATTAAATATCATTAATTTGTAATTTAAATAGTAAATGGTGACATACTTTAAAACAAATTTATTATAAAATGATAAAGTATTTTAAAAATTAGATTGAGATATTGAAAGAAGCCAATGTGTAAATAATTTTATTTATCTGTATCTAAACCCTAATCTTAAAAAATCTTTTTAGTAATCAATATAATTTAAATAAAATATAAATTGTATCTTAAGGATAAGGACAAACATAGAACATATGATATCCAAGCCCTCCCTGCGTCTAATAGATTTCACGATATTTGAAAAAATATTATATAATCTATTTTTATTTGCTTACTAATAAATGCACATATACCAAAACAATGTAAATTTCATATTTCTTAGTAATCTATTTCCCCATAATATATTTCAAGTAATCTATTTCCCCATAATATATTTCAAGTACGCCCCTAACTTCATATCCATATACAAACCATGATTCATTTTCTAAGAACTAGCATCAAAGGCCAAGTCAAAAAGCATACACGTCACATATTTAACTTTAAAATCACCTGTTCTCTCTTCTTTTTCATTTTTTTTTTGAAGGAGGTGGTGTTGATTGGTTCTTAGAACTGCAAAATCACTCTTTTGTTTTTAATCATCACACTTTTTTAAGCCATCTATCATCCACACCAGCCAATCGTTTTGTTAGTTCTAAATCCCACGTCAGATTGCTCTGGTTCTTGCTGGGGTGGAGGCTTCGGCTCTCGAAGCCTTGCAGGATCAACAAATATGACCCAACCATCCAAGAACTTAGCATTCATCCCTTCACGGGCTTTGTTTGCCTCGTCTTCTGTTGCATATCTCACAAAACCAAATCCCTTGGACCTTCCAGAAGCCCTATCAGTCACAACAGTTGCTGGAAAGGGCAAAATATATATGAGGTATGTTTGATAGTTAACAAAAGCAAGTCAGCTTTAAGTTACACTTGTCAACAGAGTATCACATAAATTTTAAGTTCCATAGAAGATGCAGCCAAGTCAAATAAACAGAAAAGCAGAGTTCATAGGAAAGATTAGTCGCAATGAATGAAAGAAAAGAAATTAAAAAGTAAGAAAAGAATAGAAGAGACTTTTTACAGGTCAAGGAACTGGACTAGCGCCCATCTATCAAAGGAGCAAAGCTTTCACTTGTTTGTTTACCTTCGACAAGTCGGCCAAAGGGAGAAAAAGCCTCGCTCAACTTCTCGCTTGTGGTTAATCGTGAAAGGCCTGCATCATATAAAGGATAAGAACTCATTAGTAGTGTATTAAAAAGAGCTTTGGTGAACCAAGTTGGGAGGTTGAGGAACCATATTGCTTCGTAGAAAATATGCAAACTTTCATTAACTAGGTAGAAGTAATGATCCACTTGTTTTTTTTTTCCCTGGTTGAGAACCACTAATCCACTCATTTAAACAAAGAAATAAACATGGCCAGATGTCTTTTTTGGTTTGTTGTTGCCGTTAGGTAACAAAACGAAAGAGAGTAGACTTAGGTTGGTTGGCCATATGTGGTGCAAACCCCGTACAGCGCCTGATAAGAGGTGCGAGTTAGTTCAAATGAAAGGCTCAAAAAGAGCATAGGACAAGCCCAAAAGGACATGGTTGGAAGTAGTGAAAAAAGATGTGAGGAATTGAGATTATGGCCCTTAATAGTGCAGAATGGCGGACCACGATTCGTGTAGCCAACCCCAATTAGTTGGGAAAAGGCTTTGATGATGATGATGATGTTGTTGTTATTGTTGAGAAACCACTGATCCACTCATTTAATTAAAGAAATAAACATCTCGGAAAGAAAATTGCATGCATAACAAGAAAATAGAAAAACGTGAGGTAGGTCAGCAACCAAACATCGTAATGAATACCCCGACAACGGATGGGACCTACTTGGTCCTGAACGTTGGAGGTTCTTCAAATTATGTAAAAAGTGCAGTTCACAAGCCATACAGAAGTTCCTCACACGTCCAAAGTAGGCGGGTCCTTCAGGAGGCACACGGACCTCAGAAATAGTGACCAGCTTGCCATGTTCAAGTTCTCATTTACACTAAAGTGTATCTACCAGAATAAACTGGTGTAAAATCAACTGGGAGGAAAACAATTCTACTGTAACTGCTTATATCTCTTAATTTTTGTTTCAATCAGTCATAGTTGCCTAAATCTTAAAGAGGTTTAAAGAATAAAAACCAATCTACAGTAAATTTGGTAGTATAAGACCATAAGAACCTTACCATCACAAACCAGAACCCCACTGTAGTTCTTAATGAGATGGTGGTTAACAAACCAAAAATGACTTTGCTCAGAATCCTTTTGAACTTGATGGGTCATCACCAACCATGAACAAGCAGCCAGACCAATTGGATTCTTACTCAATGGGTTATCATACTATATGTTTACTTGTAACTAACTTTCCTTTTATATTCCTGCCTGTTTAATCTGGGATATTTGATTATTCAAAAAGCATATTTAGTCAACTGGAATCATTTAATATCCTTCAACCATGAACAAGCAGCCAGACCAATTGGACTCTGAATCAACAGGTCATTATACTATACATTTACTAGGAGTTAGAACTAGTTTTTCCTTTATATTCCCTGGCAGTTTAATATGTGAGATTTGATGATTCGAGAAGTGGTCAATTTGTCAACAATAATGAATTAACATCCTCCAATAATTTCATTTTTCTTCCTTCACTTGGTTTATCATAAGGTTACATCAATCACATCTAGTCCCAGCTCCCTTGTGCAAGTTACCCAGAACATCCATCCATGAGCTCATGACCTGCACATGCCTCTGTTATGGTACAATTAAGGAGATCTGACCCCTAGCAGCAGTAGCATGAGCTACCAGGTAAAACCCGGACTGGCTCTCACAAATTCTTTATTGTAACTCTCTGCTTACATCTTAGGCTCCTACTCCACAATCCTTCGTTAAACCTCTTCAGTAAGAGTTGACATAAAATCACCAGAACATGTAAGGGATGAAGTGTCACGAGAATCGAGAAAATTGATAAAGTTTTTATTTTTTCGATTTTTTGCCACAACAAAGGCAATAGTTCGTGGATAGAAGCCATAGAGTTGTTTGGTTGATGACTTGGTGTATTTGTTTTTTGTTTTTGCCTTTGTGCATTGTTTCTAGTCACGACTTCTAGTTTCCTACATTGACATTTGGGATTTCAAGCATTTTGATGTCTTGCAATCTCTTTGAGACTTGCTTCTACAAATATATTATGGGTGTGAATGTAATATTATGTTTTCATCTATTTCACCAAGCATTAAGGCTCTTAAATTGCCCCAAAAACTCCCCAAGGCATAAAACCCTGCCCTAAGAACTCCTTTGTCATTTGGTTTTTCGGGGGGGCAAGGGGGGGGGGGGGGGGGGATGGGGTAGGAGAGGGTTCAATATGTGTGAAGGCACCCTGTTCCTGGGCGGGCACCTGTGCTTTCTTGAACATTGTGTATACCATAAGTTCCATCAGCTATTTGACCAACAAAGACCAATTCATGGAAAGTTTAGGAACACCTATGGTATAAGGACGACAAGAATATCACATCAATAGGACCTAGAACACTCAAAACAAAAGCTAAGAGGGTTTGGTATGTATAGGTGTTGAATATGGTCCACATTCCACAACCCACAAAAAATTCATAAGTGAATTTCAAAAACCATTCTTCTTATGAAAATACCATTGCTTTTTTCTAAGCACTACCTTTTGGAAAGTACTTTTAAACATTTGAAAGGGTGTAGTTGATAATTTTACCAAAACTAATCACAAATCTGGAATGAAACTCAAGGTACTTTATTAGAATAAAGCTTGTCTTGTGGTGAAAACTTCAAGAACGTCCTAGAAATAACAAAATCAACTTTTGTATTTCAATAAACTATCAGCTATATCATTTCACATAACAAAAGTACCCTTGAAAATGACAATGTCAAGAAAAAAGCAATATTATTTTCTGTAAAAGGCATGGCTCCCACCCTCCTCTAAAAGTTACCTATGGGTTTTTTTGAGGGGTGTGGATCAATCAACCCCCCCCCCCCCCCAACACACACACACACACAACNCTACTACGACACTACTACTACTACTACTACTACTACTACTACTACGCTACGACTACTAGTCTACGACTACGTACG